AGAGAGAGAGAGAGAAAAAGAGAGAGAGAGAGAGAGAGAGAGAGAGAGAGAGAGAGAGAGAGAAAGAAAGAAAGAAAGTGAGCGTGATCGAGGAAGATGGTGGGAGTGGTTGCGAGGCAAGAGGAGAGGAATAAGTAGAAAAGAGAAGCATCTGACTATGTTTTCTATTTAATATGTACTGATTCTGTCCCTGTGGTACAGACAACCACATAGAAACTAATGAGGAAGCTGGAGAAGGGGAAAAGGAAACATGCAGTTATAGTTTTTTTTCTCCACTTTTTTAGAAACGAACGCTGAGACAAAACACACACTCCTTTAACTCTTACACTTTCAACGCCTAAATCTGTAATCAGTTTAGTGCGTTTTATATTACGTATAGTATAAACTGGTAGCTCAATGTGCAGAAAGTGACACGGAAAGAGTTAAGACTAGTCACAAATAGTACTGAGCGATTTTGATAAAATTATAAAACTTCATCTACGCTTCGAAGCGTGAGCCCTCTTTTTAAGCCATTCGAATACCGTCGAAGAACTTTTTTTTAATACATATATGATGCGTCCACCCCTAACTCCTGTCATTCAAGACTCACTAACTATTCACAGCGCCAGTCACTGAGCGCCAGTGTGCTTTCTGGCACACAGTGAGTGCAATGTGATGACATCACGTCCCAATTCATAACGCATTGAATTTCGAATAAGGGACGGGTATGCCATTGCGACAGCTAATTTCACGGAAAAAATATTCACTTGGCTTCAAGAGTCAATTAGTGGCAATGCTTGAGCTTATCATGATGTGACGAGTGAACATTGAATAGTAATGGATACTTTTTTGAGGCATGTTTTATAACTATTGTTGGCTCCTCTTGTCACCCTGTCTCGTAACCAGCAACTACAGAGTATTTTTGTAGTAATCTCAATGTTTTTACATAAGATGTGCTCTAATTTTGTAATGGATAGAAAAAAATGAGACGAAAATCCATTATCTTTAAACAATTTTGAAAACAAACAAACAAAATCTCACGGCATTTGAATAGCTCTCCCACTCTTCGAATAGCTGTGCATAAGACAAAAATCATGAATGTTGAATAGTAACTCGAATGTGCACACCTCAAGGCACAAGCTGGATGAAGCAGATTGTCCCTGCGCTTAATTAGTAAACCCAGCATTAATACTGGAACGTGAAAACACAATT